CCTGACATCATTAACAACATCACCAATATCATCAACAATTTCCAACATCATCAACAATCTCATCCACTTTTAATATCAATCTCAGCCAAGGATGAGTGCACAAGACACCCACCAGTACAAAGCATGAGATCAAATTAAATTAGGGTTCACAGCTCACAAGGGTACATGGTCATTAGTAGATGGCCCTTCAATCTCTTCTTGAAGAGGCTCTGGACTATTTCACTGAAGATTTCAGAAGATGTGTCCTGGGTTTAGGTGCCAGTAGATGGCCTGATGTAGCTTGTCTAGTCTTATGGTCATGCTCGTCTCTTGTGTAAACTATTTGATCATAAAAATACACTGGTCTTTTGCTAAATTGGAAATTTTTTATAAAAGTGATACCACGAGATTGCAGATGTTTCTCAACCGGAAGCCATAATAGGTTTCGTTTCTATGCATAACTCAAATATGAGTGCACTTCGAAAAGTGGAGAGCTAGTCTGGCAGCCTTGTTTTGAGCTATTTGTCATTTCTTTAAATGTGATTTTGCTGCTGATGACCGGACAGTACTCAAGATGTGACAAAACCAGAGACTGAATGACTTGTTTCAAAGTGGTTGGTGTTACATACTTTGTACATTTTCTCATCACAGCTATGCTCCTTCCCATTTTAGTTACGATACTGTCTATTTGCTTTGTCCACTGTAAACCAGAATCAAGAAAAGTTGTAACGGGGCCTTTCCAAAGAAGACTTTAAACAACGGTTTTGACAAGCTGAGTCATATTACCCACCGCAAGGAAACTGATCTTGATGTGTGCCAAGGAGCTTTAACTAAATAGACATTTGTTACTATGACTTCGGCTCTGTGCTGCCCTGTTTAAGCACTTGCAAGCTTGCACCTGTCCAAACTATCTTTGAGTACTTATTTGTGTGATTGAATCCTAGTTGAGCTTGTGACCAGTCGGGTCAGGCAGCAGCGGCAGCCTCAGCTCCTGCCGATGAACTTGCATCTGCTGGCCAACCCCGGGGACTCCCTGCTGCTGCAGCACAGCCTGGACCGCCTGCTCCGCTGGCTCTGCCCCAGCCTCCGCATCTTCCACGTGTCCGAGAGGGCCTCCCCATTCAGGAGCTACACACACCTCTGTCCTGTGGCAGGTAGGGAGCTTCACTGTGTGCTGTTGTATTGATTATACTTGTATACCATTTAGTTAGTCAGGTTTTAGGCATGCAAAATGTGGTTGTGCTAGTAAAACTTAAGTATTTAAAAAAAAAAGTATAATAATTTCCATATGTGTGAGACCTCAAAGCATGAAGGAAATGTGAACAACAAATGTCATTCTCTCAATGCATTTCCTTTCTGTATGAAGTAAACAATGTCATCCCACAACCTTTCCTCTTGCCAACTGCATCTGCTTTTATTCACTTTGATTGAGAATAAATATCTTTCCAAAAAATGTCTCAGGCTACCCTTCTGTGGCCATCACCTTCTTCCTCCATGAGGCCTACGGAGAGGAGCGGATCCTCAAAGTGCTGGACTTCTTCCAGCACCCGCCCTGGCAGTACCACCACACTGAGACCGGGGGGGTCCACATCAGCTCCAACAGCTCGTCCTCCAACGCCATGCTGCGGCCCTACCTCCTGCCCAGCAGAGACTTCTACAGTTTGGGGGCAGGCATGCCTGTGTGGGGGGTGCGCCCAGTCCACTGTGGAGGAGAGATACTCCGTGTGACACTCTACAGTGGATACGACAACTACGAGGACGCCGTGCGGCTCTATGAGACGGTGCTGCAGCGGCAGGCGGAGGAGCAGAAGACCGGTTTCTGCTGGTTCACGCTCCACTCGGGTACGGCTTAGGAGGGTCACCTTAAGTGTTTATATTCTATACTAAAAATACAGCATATTTATCTCAACAAGTCCAACTTTAAGGATGAGCTTTCTTTGACAAATATATTGATTGCTATTTTTTTTTTCTGTCAAAATAACTACAAATGTAAAAAAAGTAGAATAATAAAACAGATAAAATAAATAATCAAGATGATGCAAACTTACTTCGAAGCACATTACTTAGATATTACTATAACAAAGTAAGTACATAACTGTCCTAAAAATAAAATATATACAAATATGAGTAGTAGATTATTTATATATATATACATATCCTTTTAAACAACGTACTTAAATAAATCATAAATACGTAAATGGACATGGGGAAGTTGTCAATAGGTTGTAACAGTGACTGAGTGTTATATGTCCATGTGGTGTAAAGCCTTGGAATCTCAGTGAAAAGACCAAGAATAGAAGAAAAAGAGTTTTCAATGTCCGGTAGTTTGGTTGAAACAATGTGCCTGACTTAGATTTTGTTTTATAAATAGAAGGAAAGAAAATCCTGAACAAGTTCTAAAATCCCTTTTCCCACACAGAGCCGGGGCTGTGCATGCAGCTGGCGTTAAAACAGCTGTCTCCAGGGGTCCAGGTGGAGCCCTGCAGCTCTGCCGTGCTGCAGTTTAGTGTGGAGGAAATAGGCCAGCTAGTCCCTCTGCTGCCCAACCCCTGCACCCCCATCAGCGGCTCCCGCTGGCAGACAGAGGACCTGGATGGAAACAAAGTTCTCTTCCAGGTAAGGGAATGTTTAAATGCCACGGCAAATATGTGTCAAAATGTGCACATGCTTCATGCTGCCTGACGCTTAATGAATGTTTTACATGAGGCTTAATGACTGATTGGTATGTTTTTTAAATATTTGAGTCTGCTCCAGCCTTTCTACAACGTGTTAGATAACAGTGGATATAGGAACAGCTTTCTATATTTAGGTCAGGTTTAGTCATGAGGTTTGTCACATAGCACACGGCAGTTTGCTGGAGGGGTTGACTCTATATTATCTCACGAGTTGGACAGTCCAGAGAGTGGGATCTTTGTTCTACTAAAAGTGATTTTCAGAACTGAAAAAGCTCTACACAGTATGGAGTGGGCCACTTTCCTATAGGGAATACTGAGTAGCTTCCAATTAGTATCAAATGAATATCTTCATTTCAGTTATTTTAATTCTGTCATACTCCTTCTCTCAGTGAGATTCAATCAGATGGACATGTGGTTTCATTCTCTCACAGAACCAGCTCCGAGCTGTCAGTATCAATATGTAAGATACGTGTATGTTAATTCCGTCAAAGTGACTTAACTTGTCTAAATCTCTGTGGTCTTGTTGTAAATCATAATCCCCTCCCCCCTTCTGTCCCTCCGTGCTGCAGGTGAAAACCCCGGCTCAGCCTCAGCGACCTCTGACCTGTGCTTTCCCCCTGACCTGCCCCAGCGTGCCCCCCCGAGGGGTGCAGCTCAGGAGCCCCAGCCTGTCGCCCTGCAGCCTCACAATGCCCCGGCACACACACAGGCAGGGTCAGTACACACACACTGAGTCCACCCCCCAAAACCTGTCCCCAGAGACACCCACAGGGACCCCCCCCACAGGGACCCCCTCCACAGGGACCCCCCCCCAACAGATGCCCCGAGATCCAGGCATAATACTATGACTTTTTTATGTAATTTATTACTTTGACTTTTTCAGATATAAAATCTTTTTATTGCGTTTCGATAATGCATAAACAGTGTTTGTCATTTAGAAGTGGAAAGCACAGTATATGCATAGAAATGAGAGAGTGGTTTGTACTGATTGTATGTGAAAAGAGAAGAACAATTACGAAGAACACAAACAAACAATAACAACGACTAAAGTAATCCCCTACATTCACTGCCAGTGAGCCTCATACACAAGATTATTTACCAGAAACATTGTTAAATTAATATATATGCGTGTAATACATGCATGCAAAGAATACACATACTCGTACACACTACTGTAAACATACACACGTACATACATATGCTGCAGATAAGCTATATAGATAGATAAGCAGATCGTTTTACCGAGTGTGGAATGCTTTATTTGACTTTTTGATGCTCATCGTTTTGATTTTTTGTATTGAATATTATGCTACTAGACAGTTTTTAGGACATACTTTCAAATGCTCAATACTTTTCCTTTTTTACACACTTTGATGAATTTAAATAAACCTTACACCAAATGTAAAAAAAGTTTAGACAATGAAATAGCATTTTGAATACCATGTGAGCATAGTTCAATAGCCAACGTTTCTCAGTGCCCTCTTTTGTGTCCCAGCAGGCCTCAGACCGCGCAGTGACCCCGCCCTGGAGAAGCTTTATGGAGGGGGGGTAGCAGAGAGCCAGGGGTCAGGGAGCTGCTGCAGCACCCCTCCAGGCAGCTCCTGTTACTCCTCCCAGCGCAGCAGCCCTGCACCCCCCACCACCCCCCATCACCC